GCGTCCGATCGCAGGCCTTCCGCTCCTTGAGTTCTCTCCAGCGCTGGAAAGCTGATCCGATATTTACACGGGTCCTACTTCTTGCCTTATTGCCTTAAGCCTTTTGTTCTGCAGACGTTTTCCTCTTTTGTTTTTTATCTGCGATCTCTATCTTTCTGTCGCTCGGCTCGGCTAATGTCCGTCTTGTGCACTGGATGCTCTCTCCTCCACGTCATGAGTAGACACGCCCCTTACTACTGATTGGCTACAAGTTTGTTTTGCTAGTCGGCCCGAATCAGTTTTCTAAAGCGTTTTTGAAAAATCGCTTACTCCACCTTTAACTAGTGCTTTGTTATACTAAGTTATTGTTTTATATAAATTTTTACTGTATTACAGAAGTGACAGAAAATGTCAAGCAAAATGAGAATTGCAAAAAGTAAAACTAAAATATGAAACATGAAAATAATAATAAAGCACTCTTGTCACGAAAATGTCAAAATGCAAAAAAAAAAAAAAATTCTAAAACAGGCTCAATTTTCCATATCCTATCACATATTTATTTTTTCCTAAATATTTTAGAATGAAATGACCTGGTTATGTTTTTGTGAGATTCACCCATGTACTCTCAATATTTAAAGTATAACGCAGCAATAGTAGCTAGGAGGGCATGCGGCAGTAAGATCTATAGTGAACTTTCACCAGTGCTTCAAATGGGAATCTACTGACTTCCTCCAGGAGGAACAGGAAATGGCTTTTCTTGTGGTACATGCTACAGTAGAATTTCTACTGACGTCTAACACTACTCACACAGATAATGCTACGTGTTATGCTTGATTCTCCGATCATATTTGAGTCATACATGTGGACACGATCAGAAGAGAAGACACTGTAGATGATCACACAAGTGAGTCTGAAAAGTGACAAAAACAAACTGTGTCAGAGGTCACAATTTGATTTCCCATTGGTAGCATGACAGTTGATAATAAAGTCTCATTGGCCCCTGATCTTTATATGTGACCCTGGAGCACAAAACCAGTGTTAAGTCGCTGGGGTATATTTGTAGCAATAGCCAAAAATACATTGTATGGGTCAAAATTATTGATTTTTCTTGTATGCCAAAAATCATTAGGATATTAAGATCATGTTCCATGAAGATATTTTGTAAATTTCCTACTGTAAATATATTAAAACGTAATTTTTGATTAGTAATATGCATTGCTAAGAACTTCATTTGGACAACTTTAAACGTGATTTTCTCAATATTTCGATTTTTTTTGCACCCTCAGATTCCAGATTCATCAATGGAAAGCTTGTTTATTCAGCTTTCAGGTGATGCATAAATCTCAATTTCCGAAAATTTACCCTTATGACTGGTTCTGTGGTCCAAGGTCACATATACTAAATATAAATGCCACATTAAATGTATTGCAACAAGATGTCCTCAACCCTCACATTTGGCTTTTACAGTCTGATGACAGCTTCAGATAGTGGCTACATTCACACAGCAACACAATACGGATGTCAGTCCTGTATTAAAAAAAAAAAAAAAAAGTATAACCATATAATAGGACTGGCTGTTCAGTGTTCGGGAGGAAAATAACCAAAGCACAGAATTAAATCTTTCAGAATGTTTCAAAATGTCAAACATTTTAGAACAAAAATGTAATTCTTAAAGATGCGTTCAAACTTCATATGTTCTATTGTATTCTGTGATGTGAATGTAGCCAGTAAAAAAAAAAAAAAAAAAAGCCAACATGGAATTTCCAGCCAATTTTTACATATCCCTTGCTCTTCTGTGTTCATTTATTATATATTTTGGCAAATGTTACTATGCTGATATTACTAAGCAAAGCACTTCCATCTCCATTTAACACATCATGCCTTATTTAAATCCATTCCACTGAATTTTGCACATTTACAATGCAAAAACGGTTGGCCAGTAAGATTTGACATTCTAATTAGATTACATTCACATTCATTTGCTCATCATCAGGGGTGATGGTGCACTTCCTGTGTGATTTGAGCTTAGACATTGAATTGCATGATAAAACTTCATCTTCATCTTATTTTGCACAGTATTTAGATCCCGCCTTTGCCTCAAACCGTAATTATAAATGACAACGTGTACACCAGATCCATTTAAATGAAACAATCAGACATGGTTTGAATACAAAACCACAAAGAATAACACAAACAGTCACAGACATGGATGACAGCTTCTGGGTAATATTGGGAAGTCACCAAACACGCGCCAGAACATCTAAAAGAAACAAAGGAAACATTTGGAATACATAACTATCCTGCAACGTAAAATGACATAACCCTCCACTTATTGTTTCGCTCTCATTTTCCTTCTTGCGTTAAATCTAATCGTTCGTGTCCTGCAGTAGGTCCTACTAAACTTAGCATGGATTATAAACGATAGCTGATTATACACGACATGTAGTAAAGGCATTGTGCAAGAGTTCAGAGCGTTTACGGTAACATACACGAGGAACAGTATTACAGCCGCGGGAGTGTCTTTAACTGTAGGAGAACCTGGACTGGGGTTGAATTATTCCAGGCCCTGTCCCTGTTACCTATGGAATTACCTGAGGAGCGAGTCTATGATAATCTCTTCAACAGCGACAGACGTATGCCACACTAGGATAAATATGAACTGGTTAAATATGAGCGTGAGCGAATATTACAAGCCAGAAAATAATTTTGCGCATTTTATGATTGTAAACAGACTTACCTTAAAGTTCCACTGTGGATGGAACTACGAGTATGAGTAGTACTAGAGCAAAGCAATTGAAATATATACTGAATATACGATTGCACCGTAACATCTAAGCATACGCAAATCTGATAAAGGAAACTCAAACAGAGGCACAAATGGTTCCTTCTTTTCGTCATACGCTCTTATAATTCTGTGCCTGCCCTTCCCTTGCAGTGATCATAGATGCGATGAAACGTACTTGAACTTTCAAAAAGGACCGAACAGACGACCCTTACACGTCTTGACAATCACATATTGCTCCTGAACTGTAACCATGTGCTTAAATGTTATTTTAAGTAACGTGACATATTTTAAAAAGAGTTCCAGGGAGGGTAGCCTACATTTCACAACTTTTGAAGGTAAAATCATCCATAACATATTGCATCTGAATCTCAAACCATTGGCATCTGTGACATATGCTGCGTTCCATTCGAAGTCAGATGTGGGATATTCCTACTTGATGTCTCCGACTTCCAAACATGAAGGCGTTCCTCTGCCTAAAGTTTGGAAGATGATGTATGAGAAAATAAAATGGCAATGCTACCATTTGCTGTCCAGATCTTGATTGTCAACAAAGAAGTCCCTAGCAGCCATATTAGAGGATAAATGATGCTCCACAGTTCTAGCATTTGTTCTGCAGGTGGATGATTATCATCTTAGAGGATCATTTATCTGCAGATGTTTTCTAAACATGTTTTATCATTTAATGCAGGAACTTTGACCTATTGATGAATTTTATTTGCTTAGAAGTGTGTGCATCTTACTGGATGCCACCATCTCACCAAAAGTTGTGGATTTCAACAGGTTTTCAGTCTCTAAGCGACTTCAAGCGGCATTGCAGTTTTCCAAGTAAGAAGCTAGAAAGTTCAACTTTCCGATGTAAATGGAATGCAGCATTATTATAGGATGAACATTGTGTCTTTTAGATCAACTTGTCACATCAACACTGTTTGCTTGTCATCTCAAAACTTCCAAAATAAAATACATCTGAAGTTTGTCAATGGCAAAGCCTTGAAGAGCTTGCACGTACATGCGATTTCTCTAACACTATGCAAAATGACATTCTTGATCATCAAAGCCAAGAGTGGAATTTGTCTGTCCAGAGGCGTCCATCTGTTGGAGTCTGTGTGCCCAAATCATATCCCTTGCAGTCAGAGGTACGGTTCTATTGCTGAACGAGACCGACTGACCCAGTGAGTCAACACTCTCCCAGCAGTTTGACTGAAGCTAAAAGTGATCGTTCTCATAAGTTGTCCAGGTGCTTTATTGTTCTTGTAGATTGAGGGTGAGGTAACTGATGCTCTTCTGCTGCAAAGTTCACATTGTGTCGTTTTCGGAATCGAATTCTACCCCGTAACGAACTGAACGGCAATGCAGCAGTGGCACGCGGTTTCTGCTAAAGAAAGCCAAAGGACAAGAAGTGTACAGCAAACCCAGACTGACGGAATACCACGTAAAGGAACCGAAATAACTACAAAAAAAATATATAAATTTGTGCTTCTTTAGTTTCACATTGTCATAGTCCTAGAAGTTACAGTTGGAGTCTGTTTGTCCTTTCTGCAGCTTGATACTTCCAATATATCATGTACACGTGCATGTACAGGTCCATTCAGGTTATCAGTAGCTTCGTGACCACCTGTTTCACTCATCCGTTCTGGCTCACACTATTCCTTGCAATCATAGTGTCTTAAGGAAATCACATCTCCTTGCACTTGAGTCTGTGGAAAGAGTAGTTCATTTGGGGAAAGGACGTTCGTGTTGCTCTTTCAGCCGTCTGTTCATCCTGTAAGCCCTCCGTCATCTTTGGTAATAATTGACACTTTGGTGTGTCAGATTCATACACAGGGGCGACTGAGATGAAGATGTCAAGACATGGACAGAAATGCACAAAATCAATGGAAGTTATGCTTATATAAAACATAAAGGTGCCACTTAGCAGACATAAGCTCAACAAGTGACCACAAAGATGATGATAAACCGAAGAAAAAGTAGACTTGAGGTGTGAAGCTAGGACAAAGGGAATGAGAAACAGGAGGAAATGAAGGAGGCAGTAGCAGGAAGGGTGGTCACGTGTTGGGGCAGTTCTTATTGCTGCCGCGGGGGGCGTCCTACGCTGGCGGTGTGTGTGCTGAGGGGTATCTGTATCATCTGAGGAGGAATGTCAGACAGATTGTGCAGAGCAGCTGGACGATCGCAGGAAGAAGGTGAAGACTCTGGTGTGTCCCAGACAGAACTGCTGTAAACATAAAGACAAACACTCTATTACACTCTTTACACAACCACTTCTTTATTGTTGTCCGTTTGCCAGTTTATATTGACAGAACAGTGGAAAAGGAATGTGAAAGTAATGTGGGAGTGAGTGGGATTCAAAGCTGCATCTCCTAAATGAGCATCACGGCTCCAGAAGAAATTGCTCAGAAGCTGCTCTCTGATAGTTCTGGGGACTTAGTGGGGTTCTTAGCTATGTTTCACTTAATTATCTACTTTGTCTCAGATGTTTGTGCTAAATAATATGTATGTTTATCCAAAGCCACTTGCAAGTGCATTCAAGGTATACGCATTCCTATCAATCCAAGCATTCCCTGGGATTCAAACCCATGACCTTTGTGTTGAGCTATAGGAATGCTTTGAATATAAATCATCCATATGAAAATTGTTGTTTGGCAAGGTTAGAAAATCATGGCTAAAGTATTGGCCCAAGCATTTGCAAGGCCCTTTTGATAGGGATTTTGTTGGTCACAATTGTTGTTGTGTTTCAGGACAACACCTTACACAATTAAACATGTATACAATTGAATGCAACAATTCTACAAAAGCTCATTCCTGTGGAACCAATTGTTCTTTTATTATATCTAAGTATTATATGTGGGATTAAGTACTAAAACCAATACTGTCTGAAAAAAGAAAAAAATTTGGCATTTCTTTTAGGGGTACAACATCTTGTCACTGAGGCAGTACCCATAAAAGGAAAACCTTGTACCCCTAAAAGGTTCATAAGTAGTCCCTTAAAGGGACAGTTCACCCAAAATGAATGTGACCTATGACTTGCATTCTATACAAACTGAGAGCTGTACATACTGAGAAGTGACTGGTTCAAGGCCTAAAGCATTGCAAATCTAATTCAAAGCATCCAAAATGGGGCAATTTACCTCAATATGTACTTCATAAAATGCTCTTGTAAAGAAAAACATCTCGTAACCTTAACCACACAATAGCTGCAGGGTCAGACCCCTTTCAGAAGGGAACTTGGGATGCTGTCGTAAATGGTTTTGTGCTCCTGTTGAGTTTTTGGCACAAAGGAGCACGGGACACTGAAATAATAGATCAGATGGATGGGGTTACAGCGGCTGGCATCATCGTATGACTAAACCGGAGGCCGTAAGCGGTAATATCTATGAGCTACGGAAGACGGATGACCTGCGAGAGGACAATTACAAGTCATTATGCCTCGGAGGTAAAGTTGAGTAATATCTTTCGGCACAGCTCACAGGAAATGGCCTCAGATGATGATGAGGGCTGAACCAAACATGCTTGCAGTGTTGTTTGAGAAGCAGACTCCAAGCATAACACATACATGTGCGCATTTAATTATGCATACAAGCTGCCAACAAAATGGGTTTAATAAATAAAGAGCAGGTATTGTATTTAAAAAATCAATATGAATTTATATCAAGGATTTCTCTGGCTAGCAGGAAATCAATATATTCATGATAAAGCCTTTTATTCTTCCTTTTCAATAAAGAACGAGATCGTGTGAGCCGTGACATCTCTCTCAAGGACTTTTGAAGGAGGCGGGTAATTTTGAGAGTGGGTGTACAGATGTGTGGACAGGCTGCATGAAAAAAAAAACAGTCTAATAATATAACCTATAATCAAAGAGAGAGGGAAATTACTGAATAAAGTGTCCAAAAACGAATCTATCAACAGTCAGTGGGTGGCATAAGTTTTAATGTGTGTGTGTGTGTGTTGTGGGGTCTTCAGATTTCTAATTCCGATCCAACAGGTCACCTTCATTTCAAATAGCACATACTTCTCTCTCGTTCTACCCGCTCCGCCTTTCCACCCTACAGCCAAATCCCAGTCATGGTGTGATTTATGGGGACGCAGTAACACATGGGACGTCAGAGCCAATCATCATTCATCTCTAAAGGAAGAACAGCTCACGGTTGAGCTCCCATGGGCAGCACCCCCAGCAGAACCGGCCAGAGGAGACCAGGGTCATTCTGACTATGCTGTACATTTTCATGTCCCCATCATGTCTAAAGATGAAAAGCATATTCTCTAGTTGCTAGAAAAACAGGCAATTTATTAAGAAATATTCCAATGTTTCTTCATTTGTTCCTTTACTAATCAATATTTACACAATATGTTTTCTTGAGAATATTGGCTTCCTGTTTGGAGTCCTGAGTGCGCAATATCACTTTCCATCCAGTTAGTAAAATCCCTTAACAAACATAAACCGGTTCCTTAATGACATCATCATACAGGAAGTGACATCATTTTGGAAGGAAAACCAGCATTAGCGTCACTAAGTATAGAGCACTGCAAGGCCAGTCTGGAAGTTAGCATCACCCTGGTTCCCTCAACAAAAAGACAATAGGATTTTCCACTGGATTAGGTTATTGCAAAAAAGCTCTGAGACAAACAAAAGTTTATGATACATGCATGTTTTATTCATTATAATAATCTTAACAAGTGAACACAATTTTTATGAATTTTGAAGCCAATCACCAAGAATAAAAAACTAAATGTAGACTAGAAACAAACTACAACTTCCGCCAACTCTTTCAGTCTTTATTTTAAAAAGCATTTCACTAAATGTCAGAGTTAGAATAGTTTTCAAGAGGCTGTAAAAGCAGACTAGTTAATAGATAAGTTCGCCTGTTTAGTCTAATGATGTTTAATGTCCCCAACAACATCTGTAGTTGCATTTAGCCACTTGTTAGCAACCATCTTTTCAAGACACATGAACGCTTTTTTAAAAATCGCAATGGGGGTGGGGGAGGGGGGTTATTGATGTCATAGAATAAAACATGAAACTATCTTGAGCTTGTGTTGACCACAGACCATATATCAGGCATTTAACCAAATACCCATTCAAAAAATAACTGACTTTAATACGACTGAACCAGAAATGCTAAAATGTGAACTCCTTTCCATGTTTTGGCCAACAAAAATACGTCATCCCTGCAGCTCTCTATTAGAAATTGGATGAATTCGCTGATGTTTTGTGGATTTAGCTGGTTCGTCTCACTTTAAAATATTTCACCCTTCCTGATAAAATCTGAGAAATTGTTAAAATAGACTATTTAAAAATCAAGATGAACTTATTCCCACTTTATTCCCATCTTTTTAGGCACCCTTCCTATTAATCGTGTAAATACTCAACACTTGAACGTTTTTGAGCATAACCAGAACAGACTTCTGAAAGTCTGTTATACCCACAGAGTTCCAAATGTACTGCATAACAGGAAAGACCCTGAAAAACATCAAAGAATCAAAGAGGAGAGGAGTTTCATTGATGAATGCACATATCCTCTATAGCAAAGCCTCATGGGTCAGAGACAGAGCCTGCAAGCTAACAGCACACACATACACACAACTTTCCCCAAACAAACAACAGCTATCAGCAATCCATGCGGCTGAGAGCTGGAATATTCACTCTGTGAGGGAGCTTTCACAATGATTGATCTTAATCATTAATTTGGCTCTTTTGTTCTGCCCTGCGGTGCGCCGCACGCAGCTCATGTTACACTTTCCTATGTGTAAGCACAGCTCAGCACCTGTGGGCGGCATGAACAGGTTTTACTGTGTGGGCCGTGTGTGTGTGATATAACACCAGTGTTCATACCGACCCAGGTACAGAGGAGAGAGCAGAGCTGTACTACTCCAGAGACTAATGTATAAGCTTACATTAAAACTCGAAATAATAATGGATTTTTTTTTTGCTTCCTGAGGTGTTTAACATTTTAAAATCGAAAAAAAAAAAAAATCAGGATGGAGCAGTAGGAGCTAGGTGGATTGGTATATGAAAATGTCCGTACGTGTTACTGTCAGAAGAAACGAATGCCTAGCGGGCAGCGCACATGCTTTGGCACATCGCACAGTGGTGCCTGTATGCGGGCGAATCTGTTTCGGGTCATTTTCCAATTTGGGAGATAATTTTTTGTTTTGTTTGGCAGCAAGAGAAAGAAAAAAAAATGCAGCTTGCTTTAAAACCAAACAATAGTGTTAAAAGTGGGCTGAACCGTTTTAGAGACCATAGTGCTAATGCTTGCTTACATGCCTTTCAGCAAAGGTGTTGCATTACATATTACATTAATACTATAATACATTTATACTGTTACATTAATATTCATGATGACAAGGTTTACAATGTGTTACCTCAACTTTTCACATAGTTTCTGCACTCCTGAATGTCTAGACCCCATTTAAGGTAAAACATACCATTACAATAATGCTAATAAATAGGAACTACACAGTTTGTTCATGATGTGGTGTAAATGTCAGGATTAACAGCTGGTGTTTTATTTAATTAAAAGAAAAAAAAAGGTTAATTTGCTAAATCCTAGCTGTTTATTAAAAATGACACTGCATGATAGGTGACTTAAAGAATTAAGATGTGGCTTTGAAATCTGATACCATCTGGCAAATTAAGCAGTTGGACAGAAAAGGAAACCTAATTAGACAGAACTCCTCGGAATGTATATGATAATAATTTAAGAGAATTTAGTGAACTCTTTAGAGAACTCTGTATTTCATAAAAAATGTGCTCAGCCAAACAGAATTACAAAAATTAAATGTTTTTAGACACATTTTCCTGCAATATATATTTCTGCAATATATATATATATATATATATATAAAGCCTATTTTTATTATAGTAATGCAACCACACATTTTACTGAGTGTTTTTTTTTTATGATCTATATTAACCACTCTAACAAAAGAATGAGATGTTTTGCATTATGGCAATATAAACTTACTGTAGAAGTTGAAGTGTGCTTACAGTAATTGTCATAGCAATGCCACTGTCACGCACAAAAATACCTAATAGTCCTAAAAAAACCCCGGCTTATATATCTTTCTCTTGATTTTGATATTATATATGGCCAGGACATGTTCTTGACAGTTTTCACAGAGTAAGAATAAGGGTTCTGCCATTTTTAATATTCAGAGCAAAAAGGTCAAGACTTCAATCTGTCAAAAATCACTATGCCCTGAAATTGTGATGAT